TGCGAGCATACGTCGACGCGCATACTTAATATCACCTGTAACCGAGGAAAGGGCCGTAGATGCGGGCTACGGACCGTTACAGTCACGTCATTAATTAGATATTCAATAACGCACACAAATGAAATTATTACTGATGGGTACGATATAATTGTTTGTCCCGAAAGTACTTCCGAGCGTGATAAATCAGTTAATTATACAGCGGTACTTGTGAATATCAATCGATATTAAACAACGCTACGGGCTCTCCGCGCGCTGGATTCCCTCCTGCGCCCACGAAGGACTCGAGCCGAAATTTTTACGCTATTCTGACGCTCTTAAGGATAATTCGCTCCTACTTGGACGGCCTATGGACCGATAAAAACTTACTTCGGCGATACTGAGATACCTTTTAACTTCTCTCTTGAAGCTTTAATTTCTACAGAGTGAATTTGAGATTTTAAATCATCTATTTTGACACTAAAATGGCGAGAACGGAAATTTAAAACATCGTCAGGGTCAAAGTTATATCACATTAGAATCGAGATTGAACGTATTTTGCTATCTTAGCTCCTACTATATATCTTGTAGAATTAATGGTTTAATATAAAGTTCGACTTGGAAGCCGTCTAGTCTCGGTAATAACCTCCTCCGAACAAAACCTACCAGAAGCTGCACAGATTTTTTCCCCCTGGTATTAATTACCCGCGGCACTTCGCCAAACTCTCTCTCCTCTCTCTCTCTCTCTCTCTCCCAGTCCTTCTCTTGCACGCGAGTAAGACGAAAGTTGTCGGCGTTTGGAATCTCTAATACGCGCCGAGGGAATGTAAGAAACGTTGCGACTTTTGCTCGTCGTCGAGTTATCTCTAAGTTTCTCGTAACGATCGTCTTTTGGTCGGGCGCGGGATGAGCAAGTTCGCAAAAATTATTCGTACTCCTCCCGTCGCTCCGACCTCGCGAGTCCACCTCGTAATGGGGTTACGAAGCTTTGAGCGTTTGAGCGACTAATCGGCCGTGATTAATAATTAAAATAATGAAAGTCCCGTGTCAATGCACGGGGGCGCAAGAGTGAGAACCGCTCGCGACTCAATTAGCGAATGGAACTCGTTCGGTTTACGGGACTTCGAACGGATCAACATTTTAATCTCGGCACGAGATTAAAAGCGGAGTAAAAGCGGCGGAACGTTAACGGGTGCCACGTTAAAAGGATTATTTTTTATAATTGATTCCGGACACATGCAATTTCAATGGCGCGAATTAAACACGCCCCGCGATAAAAACGCTCTAACGAGGGACGCTTCTCCTCTCGGATCTGATCACGGCCCATCGTAAAGTCCGCAATGAAAATATTTATCACTCTCTCCCTCCCCTTCTCATCTCCTCTCCACCCTTCGCCCACGATATTGTCGAGAGACACAATTATCTCACGTCTTAACTTATCGAGCACGGCCGTAAACTCGGCGAAATTATCGCTCCGATTTTAAACGTTGCCCGTAAAACTTCCGACTCGTCCACGAGAAGGGACGAGAGCGTTATGTATAAATGTAATTGATTGCCTCGTAAGTACCGTGATACGAAATAGAATAAGATAAAGTTGAGTATCGTACTTTACGCAACTCGCGATTTTAATTATAGAATCGCTAAAGTGGATACCACGGTATAACGTGCATTAGTGGATTACGCTCTGAGTAAATTACGATATACATTTAATTCGTATAAAACGAAAGGAAAGGAAGAAAATCAAAGGATTTTCCACTTTGATAATCGCACAAACGCATCGCGTAGATATTCGTAATCTAAATCGACAGCTAAACCACGAATTAGCACGTACAATTCATATTGACATATTAATCTCGAGCGTTGTGAAACACGACACGTCGTATTACAAATGACGATGTGACACGCGATAAGTTTCGTTCTAATTCCTCATTAACATTTGGCATGATACGTGGCATTTATTTAACGTTAGTTTGTTGGCTTTCAAATAAAACAAGAATAAATTGATATTATTCTCTATATTGCAAATTGCACATATTATTGTCATGTTTCGACAAAGTTCTAGAAACTCTGCGAACATTCTTTTTCCGTTGTTTTTCTCCTCTTCGTTCAAGTTTCAAATTGTAAGATCTATAGAAAATATACGTCGACACGTTGTGCTCTTTTATTCAAGAGGGGTAAACGCTCGAACGAAATTTAATTATTAATTTCAAAATATGTCGTCGAATCTCGTGTAATATTGAATGTCGAAAGATAAGTGAGAAAAGAACGGCGTCTACGGTGAAATTTTCAAGTCGATAATTAATATAAATCTCTTTCGGAATGTTGTATATTGCACAGGTGGAGCACCCATTACACTTCAATAATTACAACCAGCGATACGCACCGTTGGTTGTAAAACCGATATTCGCGTCGAAAGTCCCTTCCAAAGAGTACGAAATCACATATGCGTGTTATTACCAATAAGAAAAACGGACGTGTGCGTAATCTGGACGTAATTATAAATGGGCCGTTTGATGAAATACATCGAGAAAATGCAGCGGTCAATTCGATGAAATACGCAACGGGAAAAATTTACTCAACCACGGTATCGTCGGTGTACATGACGTGCGCGAATTGTCGACGAAGGTAGTGGACGCACACGAGTCTCAGGTACGATCAATCATTCAATAAACACATCAGCGCGAATATAACCCGTCTCGGCCAGGCGTCGGCAATTCGCGCGGCATCGCTAATGCTTTCGCTAAACAATCGCGGCTCCGCCGCCCGACTGGACTCGACAAGATAAGAATTCTATTTAGAGACACGTCCTATATGATCGGGTCATACCTGTGGATTGTCACTTTCGCGAGAGTCTCCGGCATCGTGGCCGCGTCGACGGGGAAGCAGCAGCAGAGTCCTCGATCGGCAGGACGAGTCCTTCTCTCCATCACTCGCGAACTTAGCATTTGCACAGGAGAATCACACAACCGGCACACTGATCTCGCGCGGCGCGACTATCGAACGATCGACATAACGTGTCAAGGACGTCCGCCGTCTCGAAGGTCACGGGAGGACCTTTCAGGGCGCGTGACGAGACGAGGACGAGTTAGGTGCCCCGTTACCCTGACGACGCGTGCTTCTGTTGTCCGATTTCCGGGCTTCTCGCTCGATATCGGGACCTGATATCCGCCGAATGCCGTCGATCGCCGGCTACCGCCACAAGTGGTTGCGTCCTGCCACCGCGAAGGTGACACCTAATCGCGCCTAGCGGCCGAGCAGGACGAGCTCCCAGGATGCACGCGAACGCCCGTAGAGAACGCCCGCGCTCCGTTCACTCGGAAATCTCCAGCCAGCGAGTGAACTTTGATACGTCGATCATGAGAAAGTCTGCCGCCCGAGACATGATCAGCGCGCTGTAATTGCCCTAATTGGCCGAAATCAACGGTGTCATTCTTCCGCGGGAAATACACCGCACACCCTTCTAACGGCGTGGCACACCACCGACGAGGCCGTTGCTCATTTGATCGTCCCAGGATCGATCCTTCGATGCGAGTAAATAGACGGCGGTAACGAGACGATTGAGAGACCGAGTTAGCGAATTAGGATTTGCCGCGCGTGACTTCAATTAAAACACGCAGGATCAGGTGGGCCGTTCGATCGCGCGACGGATTATCTCTCCTCCTCCCTCTCAGAAGGATCCCACTCGGTTGGAATTCGATCGTCGATCCACAAGGACGACGGGATAAACACTGTTCTCCAGGCGCGGCGAGGGACTTTCCGATGTCCTCGGCGGAGAGCGCCGCGGGACGTGTCCTCCTGCGAGCTACCTCGGGGTTTCCTTCGTCCCGACGATGAGGAGGACACCCGGCGCACGAAGCGGAGCCGCGACGAGTGTGTGACACGCACGCTCGTCCTTAGGCGAGGAGTACCTCACAAGGGCTGATTTTTCCAGCCTATCGACTGCCGTGCACCCCGGTGTCACTCCGCAGGAACTAAGCCGGCCACGACGACGCCTGCGTCCTCGGGCGTCGCGACGCTGTCCGTCCGCGACGCCCACGCCCGATCGCGCATGACACGACCGAGAAGGCGCGAATTCCTCGCGAAATTTAACGTGGGCAAACACTGCGTGCGTTACGCGCAAAACTCGCTACTTGGAGAGCCCGGTGACGAGAATACTCGTCGCGCGTAACGCTTCTCGCTTGCTCGCTTCGTTGAAATCCTCGGTTGAATTATCGCCGGAACAACCGGGCGGATCGGGTCGCGCGAAGTTTGTCGAATATGGTTTCCATTGTCAAACGGTGCAAAATTCAATCCGTAAGACGTGCATTAAGTGCCACAATAGTCTTAGCGTTTATTAGGCTTAGTGACAATGGAATTTTTCGATCACACGATGAATGAATCGACATATTCGGGCAGCGTGACTGCTGCTTCGGAGCATCCTCGCCGGTTTACAGAACAATCAGCAGTCACGATGCACGAATATGTCATTAGGCCTAGTAAATATTAAGGCTATTATGGCGCTTAGTGTAGCATACGAGGTTCGAGGAAAACAAATGCGTAAGAGAAGTTTTAAATCGGTGATAAACTGAATGAAGAATCTCCACACTCGAGAATTGTAGAGAGATAAAATATAAAAAATATTCGTGATGTTTGCGAGCAGACAAAAGTTGAAGCGACCGGACGGGCCGGGATTTTTTCGTTGGTATCATTTTCACATGTTTTATGAAAAAAATTAATCTATGTAAAAGATTACGAGATTAAACATCGCGAGACTTAATCTCGTTAACGCCATGCACACGGCATAGATCCTGAGTGCATTGAAAATTCACAAAGTTATGACCTGTACACAGCGTGCATCGTCGTTTGAAAGCGTCTCTACTGTCAGAAACGAGACGAAAGCGAATAGAAAGTTAAATTGGCACACGCTGGAATTCGTCGTGACGTTGCAGCTTACGGTATATTCACGCGATCGCATCGTCTATGTGTGCATGCGTGTATTATCAAATCATTTTATCTATCAAAAAAGTTGTATGTTAATTACTCACCAGTCTGGGTGCTGCTGTCGAAAAAGGTGCTGGACGTCTCAACCGTCATCGTCGCAAAAGTGCCGTCTGTGATTTGAGCCGAGCTGTCCCTTCGACCACGATACCTTTGAACCTGCATAACGAAAAGAACACAAAATTATTTAAGTGATATTTTGTGACTTAGGTTTATATGATCGGCAAGGTGGTTATCTTTGATAGGGAAGATTCACGTTTGAACGAAGTTCGGAAAAATAAATGGTTTTCATCGACGGAATGGACGGACTCGATTGCGATTATAAAATCAGAACATCAGCGCGGAGACGATCGGAAAAACTTCCCTTCTTTTTGATCTTTTCCCTTTTCTTTTTCTTCCACTGGTCAAACGAAAAATAATCTCAACGAACTTGTTCGTACACGGCAAATTAAACACGATCATGACCATTTTGTTTCGTGCGAATCATCGAGACGCACCGTGTCGTCACTCTGAGAACTCTGTCGTCGAAAATTGCGGCATCGTATCATCTCCTCGGTGGTGCTCTGCCGTCGAAATCCGCGCGCTATCAGGATCTCCTCCGTGGTCGATTGCCGTCGTATTATCGGCGCATGCTGGATGCCGCTCGGTGCACGGGCGCAAGGGCTAGGATCCCTGGACGAACACGAAGAGCTGTCCGGCGATCTGTAATGCGAAGTTCGATACCAGCTCAAATCTAGTTTCAAATTGAGAAAGTATTAGTCACTTTCAGCGTCGGGCGTGGAATCTCTTCGAAATCTTCGCGAGATTTTTATTTTATCCGAATTTCGGCTACGCTCTGTGAAATTAACTTTTAAGCCGAAGAGAATTGCAAGGCTAAGCCGATAATAACTTCTCAGTCGACGAACGGTGAACGGTAGCTGTCGTAGCATCGCGTTTGCGCCGCTCGTGTTGAAAAATCAATAAATTTGCAGGTACCTCGGTGGCCGACCAGCCATGGAAGTGGACTGTCTTCTCAGTCGAGCTTTCCTCTGCCTGATAGGGCTGATGTCCCTCTTATCGACGTTTCTGTCGGGGCTCAAATGACTCCTAGAATCGCGCCGCCGCGGGTCAGAAGCGGAGTCCGGGCTTAAAGAATCCCTCCGTGCTTTCCGACCTTCGAATACGTTAACAAGATTATCTTACAACGCATCTCGTCTCGTTCGTAGAATAATCGCGACCTCTTCGTGTGAAGTTTCAAGTGCTTAGTCTGCTGAGATACCAGACTTTTCTTTAACGCCAGAAATTTTAAGGCATAAAAAAGCCACCCACTCCTTGCATTTGAAAGCGAGTGAAATTTTAACATCACAATTTTAATGCTACGCTTTCTGTTGATTTTAGGGAACAAACAATAATGATGAATGTGCAATCGCGAACTGTGCGGAAACTCAGTCTAATTCCGTTTATTATGTACGAGACAAACTGTAACAACAGTCGGTACTTACCCCCATCATCTGGGTCGGGTAACAGGGTTGGTTGGCTACCACGTCGTCCTGTGGGTGGCATCGATTCGTCTATCGCTGCCTGCTGGCGTATCAGTCTTGACAGTTTGTTCGGCGATACTTCCTTACCCTTATAGTAACACTGTTGAAGAAATTGATGGCCGTTACGATATGCCATCCACGAGGGAATTTAAAGAATTCTCGGTAGAAAGGCAAACCTTATCCTCTCGAGTTATATGAAAGAGCTCAATAGTAGTGTTACGATTCACATCGCAGGAATACACGAACATGACTCTCTCACGTCGAGCTCTTCAATCGTCATTCTCGAAGAATCAAGAAGAATGTATCGGCAGCTTACCTGCGTAGTCGAATCCCTCCTGGTGGAAAGCAACGGATGCGTAGGTGTGTTGTTGACGTTCGGAGAACCGACCGGGCTGGAGCTGCCGGAAGTCGAGGTGCCAGGAAGCGGGAGGCTGCTTCCGACCGTCGGTGAGATCGCCGGTGGTGTTACCGAGGACATGACGATAGTCGGCGGATTCACAGATACGTCCAGGTTGGCACATTTGCTCTCGACCGCGGTCTTCGTGTCCACAGTCAAGGACGACAGAGTGGACATGCCCATCGTGGTGCTCACCGTTACCATCGACGTCTTCGAATCGGCCGTTGTAGTGACGATGGGCGTCTTACCATCGACCATCAAAGACGTCGACGTCGTCACCGTCGTTTTCGTGTTGGTCATGAGGAGGGCCGGCGGTTGGGTCTTCGTCTCGGTACTGTTCGACCTACTGTCCATGGAATTCCTCTGAGCTTCCAGATGTTCCCTGCAACGAAGGCGATTTAATGAGCGAAGCAAATACTTCGTCTTGCTAATGTAGAATTTTAATCCTTAATTTAATAAATACGGACCTTCCACTCTGAAGAACGTATTATTTACCATTATAAAAGATATCGCGATATGTACAACTTTTTATATATACAGGGTGTCCGATAATTTTCTCAGGATCCGTGATATGTGAGTGGAACGGGACTGAACAGAAAAGCCACGTACCATTTTGCAAAATTCGCAATAATTGATAAGATATTAATCCGCATGAGCGCACGGAAAACGGTTACTTGAAAACTCAACATTGTCAGATTTTAACTATAATATGCGAACGTTAGGTTTAATAAATATTCGTCTTCTCGCAAAGCAACGTACAATGTAGTACGCAGCGAAATATGAAGAAGCAAGGTAACACCTGCACTTTCATTATCCTTACTGACCTGACCGCATTACTAGCCGCACTATCTGTGCTTGAAGCGCTCGGCCTTTGGTCGTTCCTGTAGTATTTTGTAGGCGTCATAATATTCCCGTCGACCGACTGTTGAGACTGCCTACGTCTATGATGACGACACTTGTGTTTATGCTCGCTACTCGTAGATTGTGACGTGATCATCGAATCCCTCCTGGACCTCAAGCTCTCACCCGAGCCGCGACGAGAGTTTCTTGACTCGCCCGAACCTATAATGACGTGCTAATCAGCGTGATGTATATTCGTATAATTCCACGAACAATATTTAAATACACTTCTCTCACAATTCACCTCCTCTCGCATTGCAATTATATCGTTCGAGAATTATGTTTCCGAATATAAATAGAATATCTATATAAAGTCTATATATTGAAGAATTCACGGAATATTCTATAGATTTTGAAAAATCGGTTTTTTAGTCGCTGCAAAAAAACAAGAAAAAACTTTCTTCGAAAAATTTTTTTGCGAAAAATTGCTTTTATTACTATTTAATAATAATATCATTTTATACCTTCCAGGAAATCTTTCAGCTTTTGCCTCACGTTTTTTTCCGAATAATAATGCATTTCTTTTGAAACAATAGTCTGTAATACTTTATGTGGGCCACCCACTAGTTATTTATTATTAACACAAGTTAAAAAATATATGCACTGATAACATTATGTTATTATATATTATATATTAAAATATTTGTATTCATAGTGTATTTGGTTGTACATCTTTGAAGATAATATGGTATTGCTTAACATATAACATATTAATTTCATTTAACTTCACGCAATTATCTCCTTTACAGAAAGAAGTAAATCTGGCAAATTTTAATCGAACACACGTGAATTTTCCAAATGAATTTCTCTATCCTCGGAAAAGAAACTGAAAAATCCGCAGAAAAATGGAAAAATCGACTTTTTTTCCAAAAGCCTTCCTATAAAATATTCTATCATTATATTCTATTACATTTTTTCACCTATTATTATATTCACCTTAGAAAATCTAAGAACGTAACTTTAGAATGAACAAAAAATTATAGAACATACACAGTAATTCTAAAGATTTTCTACGAAATGTTACGCGATACGTCATCATTTCCGGGATAACTCAGCCCTGCTTGTTTCGCCTTGACTCGGTCGCGGGAAGAGACGCTAAGCCGATCCGTAGCGGAACGTCGCGCGCCTGTTTTATCCGCCGCGAGACCAGCGAGCTTACATTCCGCATGCAAAATATGTCAGTCCGCGCCGAAGCTTCAGCCAACGTCATTTTCGCTGAACCCACGGAATCAATCCCGAGGTAAGCCGGGGCAATCGCGAGCGACAGCGCGTTATTTTTAGAGCCGCCGCTGAAGAAAGTTCCTCCCTCCTCGGCGGAAGTTTACCTCGTCTCGGCGTGGGCGAGATGACCGTGGGAGGCGGCTGCGGCACCTCCTTCTTGCTCCACAGCCTGACGAGGTCGTTCTTGAAGTCGCTGATGGTGGAGTCCCGTCTGGACTTGGTCGACACCTGGCTCCTGATGCCGCTGTCGACCGAGCTCTCCCGCCTCTTCCGCATGCTCAGGTGGCTGCCGTCCGAGGTGGTTTGCCGCGACCATGGCAGCGACTTGGCGATGTCCGCCAGAGTCTCCCTGCGACAGAGCTTGTTACTACGTCCGCTTTTCCCGGAGGCACCGCCGCCGCTCCATTCGCGCAGGATGTCAGTCAGCTGAGCGAGGCTGGATCGCCGACGGCGTTGATTCGTCGGCGAGGACTCATGGGTGTCGTCCGGCGGCGAGATCGACGTGATCTGCGCCGCGGAGTCCCGTCTGCCCGTCCCTGGAGGAATATGCGTTTCTCTGATATCTTTTCTCTCTGCTCTCCCTTACCGTTCGCCACCCGGGGGATCGTTATTCGTCATCGGACGAGCGCGTTAAGAGCGCGAATCTCCTCCGAGTTTCTAGATGTCTCGCTACTTGTTACAGGAAAAGTATCGCATTATTCATTTCTCAGTTCCTTTAATAAGGCAGTCTCTAAATGATTCGTCGAGAGATTGCTTCTTTATATACGCGCGCGCGCGCGATTATATCGTTTGACGAAGAAAGAAAACGGAAAACGCTGAATATATTCCTCGGCGTAATCGAATTTCCGCCGTTAAGCTTTCGGAATTCATTCCCGACGAATAATCCCGTAGACGGACAATTCTGCTTGTGCGCACGTCTCGCGTTATCTTCCCTTTTAAACGCATTTTATTTGGAACGACGGAAGAAAATACATTCGGATTGTCTATTAAGCCCGGGCTTTACCATCGCCGCGAATCGGCGGACGTAGCAATCCCCGCGGGAATAAATTCGCAGCACTTTTGCGCGAGAAAAGCACCGGATTTCCATAATATGCTCGCTCGCGCGCGAAAAAAAGCGCCGGTTACGGCTGGAATGCGTGTCCATGCATACCCAGTCGTTGCTTCAGGGTGGATTCCTCCAGCTGTTCCCGCATGAGGTCGTCCCAGCCGTTGCCGCCCTGCCATACTAATCCGACCTGATGACTCAGGATCGGCAGGTTGCACACGAAGCAGATCGCTGTCATGGTCCTGAAAGAAGGAAGCGCGCGGTCTCGGCTTAAGGCAGACGGGAGACGAAGAGACGAAGTGACTTCGCCACTCGCGAGCGGAACGGAAGAAGAAGGTGCATCTCTCAACGATAAAGTTACGTGAAACCAGGCCATGCCAACAGAGCGCTCAAAAGTGACAATTCAGTTTCGAAGTCGTGGTTTCTCCGCCATTCTCGAGCGGAAAACGCTCGGCGCGCGACCGACGCTTGCGCTAAGAAAGAATCCGGGAACAGCCGGAGGAGGCACGCGGGATACTGTTATGTACAGGTGCGAGCCTCTTCCTGAACCTTCGTCGCCGCGAAACCACGCTTCGTCTACGTCCCACCTCCGTGGGTAATCGATCGAAAGAACTCAACGTGATATCCAAGATAATACAAACGTAGCTAAGTAGAACAACACTCGGACAAATGTACAATAGACACAATAACGCAGATGTAGATTACAAGCGAGGCTGGCGGTCATTCTGCAAGCTCGGCCATTCTCGACCTTCTCAGGGAGATACGCGAGAATAATTCTTGCGCCCGAAATCCTCGAAGAAGTGTGTGTGTGTGTCGAGCTTTATAATCACCGACGCAAAGACGAGAGCAGATTTCGGTCCTACGGTGAAATTTGCGTACAATCGCGACGGTATTTAGAAAAGAAAAGAGAAATGAAAAAATGCAGAAGTCGATTTTTGCGAATGCGAGAAATGAGAATTCACGCGCGTCACCATGCGTCCTTTTAATGCCTCCAGACACGCGCGTCGTCTGAAAGCATCGCGACCACGCGACCCGACGAACGCACGTGGAATTCAATTCTTTATATCCGTCGTTCGTACAGAATTAACATAAATTTAAATATGGATAATGTGAAGAGACCACACACGGGAACACATCGAGCAAGACTCATCCTAGCGTACGCAAAGCTCGAGATCGTCGAGCGCACACAAGTCAACGTCAGCCACCGAATCTAGGAATGTTACCGCAACGTGTTTCGCGAGCGCCGATGAACGTCATTCCAAAAGCGTGGATGCATAAAGAAACTCGAGATATATAATATAATATTACATATACTATATATATATATATATATATATGTAGTATATGTATTTATACAATTACTAGAGCGAGAGAGCCGCATGACTTTTCTCATATACAGCACATAATGAAAACTCTTTTTAAAAGGCGCATATCTGATTTGATGTTTCGACCTGTAATGTCGAAGTCTGGGGCTCTGCAGCGACATCGCATGGCAAGGGTTTGGCCGACCTGCAAAAGACACACACACACAAACTTGTTTGCGTTTCTCCGTTAGACCACCGCCGGGTTTCGATAATAAAGTAGTTGATGTAGAGAAGCATCGCGCACTCGATGATGCTGTACCCTGAAAAGGCGCAAGTGATACCTGAAGAGTGGTGGGATTAATCGGCGATCGCTTCTAATTACGAAAGAAGCGCCTTTTGCGCGTTTTATCGACGCGTCGCCAGCGCCGTTGCTTTTCTTAGACGGAATATCGGAAATCGATGACGTCGCAGAGAGAAAGAGAGAGATAGAGAGAGAGAGAGAGAGAGAGAGACTGACTAATAGAGTGTAGATAGATGTGTACAATATCATCCGCAGTAATAACACACGACGTTTCTCTGGTAGAAATTTCATGCATTTTTCAGCAGTTACCGGACAGTTTATTCATTTCTGTCTAGTAACCGAGAAGTAAAATTATTTGGAACTCCAATCATGTGACGCTTTTCCTGCAGTTACTGCGCAAAATTTGAACTCATTTACTGAGCGGAATAATAAATGGATGATAAAACAATTCGACCGATTAATAAGCAAGCCTACTGCTCGTGAAATGGACGATTTTCCCTTCGAAGTATCTCTGAATGAAACTCTATCAAATTCTTCGATATCATTCGTCGATTTCCTACGCAGTATTGCAACTAATGAGAATGCATTGATATTAGACGAATTAATACTAGACTGGACGAGTATTTAGGAAAATTACATACTACACTTCTACCAGGAACTTTTCGCAGTTTCATTTTAAATTCGCGCACACAGATGTAATTGTTTAACGGGTCGGACGGCTGTTGACGCAACGGCCGGTAAAATTGCGCGCGTTACCGCCGAGCACGGAGCAAACACGATTTCAATTAGCCGACGCAATTCGAGATGTTATCATAAACGCATTTACGAAGATCTCTGCGTGTTACTTGGACGCGTATCCGATGTGCCGGGACACATTCGATTTAACTCGCACGGGATATACCTCGTGCACTAAGTGAACCGCATTTCCGTCAGATACGTGTAAACTTTAACGCCACGGTATCCTCATCAAATATGCATTCACGTTCATAATCTTCGCTATAAATTTCCGCGAGAGCGGCTCGGCGCAAGCTTCAGCGTGTTGATAATATTCCAGAGACTACTGCCGATGCGCGCCGCGTGTCATAATAATATTACCTCGTTAGAACTTGACTTTCGCGTAGCCCTATGTTAAGAGAAATCGCGGACAACTTCAATCCATTCGTATGCTAATACAGCCGGTCGTTAACGGCGAAGCTTAACGCGCCTTGTGTAAGACAAATTAAGAGCGGTGATTCAATGGCCGAGCCGTTGCGACAGGGCGCAATTACAGTTTCGCCCCCGGAGTGGAACTCCGAAACGTGGACGGAAAAACTGCAACACGCCGGGAGCCGAAACGGGCAACAATTAATTAATCTCTCCCCGTCAAAGCCTCGGGGCATACTTATGCACAAAGTGACCTAATTAGCTATTCACTTGCCCCAATTACTCCGCCCCGCCAAACAAACGAGCATCGGTAACAAACTCGTGTCTAATATCGATCGTCAATGAATTCGAAGTGGAAGTTTCTACGGAAAGCGTATGAATACGAAAGATTCGAAATGTTGAAGAATACATTTGATTTTATTTACGGATCATTGGATCATAAAATGACACGTGGGATTTCGATATTTTTCTCATTCTCAATTTGAATATTGATTTTATATTTTTGTACATTTGTATCTCGTGTTTTTTAAGTTTTACATTTTTGTCAAGTTAATTTTACTTGCGAATTATTCAGATGAGAGAGGGATGTAAAATTTCACCTTTTTCATATTTTCCCCCTCACCCTATGCTTCATAATACCGATGTCATATTTTATATTTTTATTTGTATTTTCATATTTTTCTATATTTCGTATTTTCGCGCTTTACGTTTTTTTAATTAATTTTGCTTGCGCGAATTATTCGGTAGAGATATAAAATTTCGCGATTTTAATATCCTCTTCTGTGTTCAATTTCAACATCAACTTTATATTTTTGAAACTTTCATTTGATGCCTTAATGATATTTATAAAATGCATAATTAAGGAACAAGCAGTTATCTCGTCTGAAAACGTTTTTCTTCAAGGAGATGTCGTTTTTAAATCCATCAAAGAATATATAATTAAATTCATAGCTTCTCCGAGACTTCTGTGTTTATTCGCGCCTTAGAAGTCGATGAATTTTAAGTATGATGCGGCACCTTTCCGCCTTAATATCGTACTTCTATTCTTATCGGCGCTTTCGTTCAGCGCTTGACAGCATTGTGGCTCTCAAAGGGAAGGCTCACGACAGCACCTACCATCCGCGAAAATTTCTCGGATGCTCTACATAATCTGAAGCGGCATTTTCGACCGATGCATGCGTCAGGGATGCCTGAAAAATCTCGGCAAGGGTTGTCGAGAGACAGAGGAAACATTTGGCTCAAGTGAATTCTCTGATGGAGAAATTCATTCTGTCAGATAATACGAGATAAATTTATTTTACTCCCACGAACAAGTACAAATTCGATATTATTTATTAAATAATAAATTTAATATAAATACATTAAAAAAATATACGTAACATGTAAAATAATTATACCACCGCGAACGGAAATTTGCATTGAGTGATATCGAAAAAGAGGAGTTTTATTTGTGCTAATTCAACAAATTGCGTCTTAATGAGACGAACGATCGATCTTTCCTTCTCTGAGATCTCACCGTTAAAAATACATTTCCTGAGACGGGAAAGAGAGAGTTCACTAATACGATTTCCCGCTTAGAAACTCAATTTCTACTTTACTAACGCTGTGTGAAATCACGGGAGAATGCAAATACGCACGAACACATGTGGATTACGAATTTTTATTCGCTCGTGTAAAAGCCACGTGGAAAGCCGCGTCGGGGATGCCAGAAACCCGAGGGTAATAACGTGGCGTTGTAAAGAATGAGAAGGAAAAGCGAGAATAAATAAAAATCTTGATAATTACTCTCCTAAACTTTGATAATTATAATTAAATCGCGGTTATGGAAAAAGCAGATCTCCGCAAGCGGGTAAGCTGATTTCGCACACTCGACCGCCCTTATCCCTCTGTATAATTACGATCTTGACCACACTAGGCGCCTCTAATGGACTACCGAACGCCACGATGTGGCCGCCGAACGAATAGTTATAATTAAATAGGAGGTCGCCAAAGCGGATACCTGGAAGCGCGCGTGCCGAATCAGCCGGACGGATCGTCACACCGTGCCGCCATAATGCGTGGTTTAACGTCACATTGTGGCTCGTATTATCGACCGGCGAATGCCCGTGCGTCGTTAATACGACAGCTTTGACATTTCCTGTTTCAACATCCATTGTGTGGTAATGATGCCGACTGCGAGAGCTCGGCGGAAAATGATCCGTGTTACGCGGTCATGGAGCGAACGCGCACACAGAGCCGTTTTCAGTATCAAAACAAACTTGATTCACGTCAGGACTGATGCAACCTGCACTTCAAACGCCGTGTCCTTTCAATTAAGAGAGATTTTAATCGGAGTTAATGTCCTTTCCATTGCAATTTGCAAGTCGTAATTTTTAACCTACTTTCGACCCGAATTTTCTAACGTCTGTAACGTAAGTTCTGGAGGAACAATGTTGGTTTAATTTATATGGAAACTTTAGTCCTACTTAACGCTTTTAATTATGCAGGAAACGCACAAAATGCCATTTTTGTAGGTTCTAAATAGGCAAAACTCGTAAAATTCTCCGGGCCTTCTAAACCTATTTTCTTCTAATTTTATTAAGGTAATATATTTATAATTAGTTGCTGAAGAATATAATTTGATATTTGATAGAAGTATTTCCTTACATAAATGTTATGTGTATAACATAATATTGAATTAATTCCTATTGATGGTATTGTTGTAGCTTGTGTTCACGTGATTATTAATAATGAAATGTATGTATCTATTCCTATAAATCAACAGTGATTTGAATAATGATGTTAAATTAACGATTGGAAATTTTTTCAGCAATTTTATTATAGTAATAACCATATCTTCAATAATTATGTACTAATATATTTCTGTTCCATAAAAACTAATACGCGTGTTGTTCGTCTTTCTTATAAATATTACATGTTCTAACATATTTAAATTTCTATGTTTATTATTTTAATTAATTGCAACAGGATTGAAAAGTGGTTTAGAAAGGAAGAATTTTGATTTACTTATATTTGGTTCACTTATATTACAACAAGTTGAGAAGAATTTAGAAATATCACAGTAAAAATAGCGAAACGTCCAAGTGGAATTTACAGACCTTAACAAAAGCTATAGGTAATACAAAGCACAAGAGATTGCTATAGGCTTCACAGTATCAAAGTAGGCGTTAAATGGAATTTTCAGGTCGAAAATAGGAAATTTCGACTCGGGGAAGGAAAGCGGATTATTTCAGATCATGCGAACGAGATAGAAGTCGAAAGATCCACGGTCTTAGAAAAAGTCTTTCAGCCCATCGTTTGCATCCTTATTAGCGTGCGTAATCATCCTTATGTTTGTTATTTGCAGTTTTGCACAGTTAACGTGCGCGTCGCAATCGCGCGGAACGACTGTAATGCGACGCGGGTTGAATTAGTCGTGCGAGCGTCATGTTAACATTAAAATTATGAACGAGCGGCGGATATCCCCGTGAGATCATGTTCGCTTTTGAATTTAATTTTCACGCAACACGACACGAACTCGCGCGTGTAATTCGAGGCATCGTAACTGGAAACTGACGCATAGAGAAATGTGTGAAGCGAGAAATGCGGCTGCACTTTTCAAAAATTTGTAGAAGCATGTGACGAAGAAATCGTGATGTCAAAGAGAGAGAGAGAGAGAGAGAGAACGTGTTTCAGAACGCTCGCTCGTGGGTGAACCTGACGGTAACTCGCGGGATCCGTGCGGAATCGCCGTGATTGCGGCCTCGTAAAAACGA